AGTTAACAATTTTTGAAGGGCTAGGACAGTTAACAATTTTTGAAAGGCTAGGACAGTTTATCTACTGACAAGAGGTTATGTGTGAACCACAACACTTTGACCTGCCTCCCTTGGGGTCTTAAAGTACTTTTACTTTGCTAGCTAAGACCAAAGGACATGGGTTCAATTTATGATTGTTACTTAGTGTCTATGCGATCTTGGGCAAGTTACTTAATCTTGCTAGGCCTCAGGTCCTCATTCGTAAAATTGGGGTTGGGGTGGGTTAAACTAGATGACCATCAAGGCCCTTCAGGATCTCAACCATTGATCCTATCATCATTATCTCCTGAGAGGACACTTGTAGGAAGAGGAAAGGAGAAAGAAGCCAAACAGTGGCTGCCTATTCCCATCTAGCCTGAGAAGATGTTAGGGATACTCCCACAGGTCGCTCTGCCTCTTCTCTCCTCTTATGGGTGACAGAATGGTTTGTGCCTACTTTTATAATTGTAGGGCACAAGCTTTCTACCTACCTACCTATCTGATTCCCTGGAGTTAGAAGTTAGTTCATTCTGTGCAACAGAGAAAAACATCCTTACACCTTAGTTACCTATCAGATTCCACCTGAGTGTGCACACTCTCCCTAAAAAGTATCCTATTCTATGTTAAGGTGACCTGATTCTGGGATGAGGTTTCAAAGGGATAGGCCAAGGGTTATCATCAGCTGTTAATAGCTAACAAAAGGTCTATGCCATAAGGATGAGCTTAGCATAATACCTGTCACATAGCAGGTGCTTTATAGATGCTTGTTTACTTGATTTAATAGCTGAAGGCATGATATCCCAAAGCAGTAGTAGAGCCCAGGTTGAGATTTCTGCTGGTAGATTTTCTTGACAAAGTAGTTTGGAGGTTCATCTTTGCAGAATTTTTTTTTCTAAACCCTCAAATCCATGTATGAGCAGCCAGGGTTTCTGTCAGTTACTTTTCTGTTCTGGTCCTCCAACAATCAGTTCTTCCTCTTGGTCTTTCTGGTCATGACTTGCTGTGGCCATCTTACTCCAGATTCACTGATCATAGAAGGGAAGAAATGCTCTTGCCTAGTGGCTCCATACATTATCCATCCATCCATCCCTTCATCTATCTGTCTATCTATCTATCTATCTATCTATATATCTACATCTACACACACACACACACACACACACACACCCCTGTCTTGCTAATCTATTTCCCCTTGGGCTTCAAACCTTTTGTCTTCATTTGCTTCATCTTGATGCTCTGTTTTCTGGAATTACACTTCCTTTCTTGATCTTGATCTGTTCTCTCCATTTCTTTTTGGTCTATGGAAACCATCTTAGCAAATTATAGCCTTTGTAGACCCATCTTCCACAGATCTACCAAAGTGTTCTCCCTAAAATGCTGGTCTGACTCTGCTACCCCATCCCACAATAAATTCTAGTGCTTCATTATTACATATAGGATCAAGTATAAACTATTATGTTTAAAATTTAAGGCTCTTCAAATCCTGGCCCCCTTTTTCTAGCTTTATTAAATGTTACTCCCCTATGAAACCTTCTTACTGTTATACGCAACACTAAATTTTCTTTTTCATTGCCTTTGCACTGACTTTCCCCCATGCTCCTAATATATTCCCTCTTCATTTTCACATCTTGGAATCCTAGGTTTCCTTCAACATACCTCAAGTTCTATCTCCTGCATAGACCTTCCTGGTACTCGTAGGTGTTAGGGCCACTCTCTACACATGTTTGATTACCTTGCATATATTTTAAATATGCTTTTTTATGTGAATGTGATCTGCCCCCTAAACTGGGGACTTTTAAATTTTTGTTCTTGTATTCCTGGTGCCTAATAATGATTTATCATGTGCTAGGCACATAGTAGTCCCTTGATGAATGTATAATAAATGTATATTGATTGAATGATTTGTAGTTGAATTGCTTTTCTACCTGCCTCCCTGGACATAAGGACATAAGGACATAATAGGGCATAATGATATAAGATTAGTTGTCTAGGTATGTAGTAACCAGTCCAAGATACTGGCTTTCCCAGAAACATTTATTCATTTCTGGCCTCCTTCCCTCTGGCATCCTAGCCACCACCAAAAAAAAAAATGATAAGAATAAAACCAATCCCATTTCCCTTGAAGGGGAATAAGAGAAAAGTAAAGTTTGGGTGCATCATAGAGTAAAGGGATGGAAGTTCAGTGGATACTCACAGGCCTGATCCTAAAAATAATTGGCATGGAAGCTTTAACTTGGGTTTTCTCTCCTTAGGTAGCCAGGTAGTTCTGCTCTTATAGAATCATCATATTAGGACCATACTTAAAGCAGACATTTGATCATCTTTAGACCAACAGAAACTCGGAAGTCCAAAACTTAAGTGATCCAGCTTCAGTCTTCCCTCATGGATATGAGCCACAATGCCTGGCTAGTTCATATTTTTTCTACTTTAATCCTGGCCCTTATACTTATGGGTTTCAATTTACATGCATCTCCTCAGGTGTCTTTGTTTCTACTTATGTCACGGTTCCTATGCTCTCTAATTTCACTTCACCTGAGCTGTAGACAGTGATGGGCATACTTTTGATCTCATTACCACCTCTGATTGTTCTGCCTTTTCATTCCATAAGTCTAAAATATCTTTATATAACCCATGAACTTGGGTTTTATATATATATATATATATAGATAGATAGATAGATAGATAGATATAGATATAGATATAGACATATCTATATCTATCTATCTATATATATCCTTCCATATATCCCTATACATCATTCCTCTGTCCTCACTAGAGAGTGATTCCTCTATTCTATGCTTCATTAGTCCATCATCTCTTTTCTAGCCTCATTTTCCTCTCTTCAAAATCCTTATCCAATAATCAAATCAAATTTGTACATTTCTCTAATCTTAAATCTCTTGCTTCCTTGTCCTATTGATATGCACACCTTTCTAAATGCATACTTTGAATTATTCCTCCCATCTCCCTTTTTTACTCTAACTCATGTGTTGCTGAATGCTGATGGAGGAAGCTGTACAATTATGTTGACTCAATCTATTACACTTTTTCGTTTTCTGATTTTACCTGGGCCTTCATTGCTTCAAGCTAGTGACCATTTTTTACTCATCCCTGATTAACCATCAATCAAAATCTGTACATCATTGGCTCTAAACCTTGTATTCTCTTCCATAGCCATCTTCTTCCTCCCTCTAAGCAGAGTTCTTTGCCTTGAATTATCTCCTCCTATCCAATTCTATTCCTTATATCTCCTCAGAATCATTCTGTATTCTCTCTTCTATTTTTTTTCAATCTCAGAGGAAAAGGTAGACCAGATTCTAGTGCAAAGTCAATTCCTCCACTTTTTTGAACCCATTCCCTCCCATTTCCTCTCAGCATCTGGTCCCTTTAATAATCCCCTCTAATTTTTGACATCACTTTATCAAATGTCTCTTTCCAAGATTCCTAAAAATATTCTATATCTCTTTAGACCTTAAAAGATTATTTCAGGAGTTTCTCAATTTTCCTAAAATTTCCCTTTCTTTCACAGTTTTTTTAGGAAGGTGGTCTATTCCAGTTGCCTCCAGTTTCATACATCCCATTGATTTCTTTTCTT